CCTTAGGTGTATGTGGCTGGCGCCCTAGCCTCTTGAGCCACAGGTGCCGAGCCAGCCTCTCCTATTTTCAAGGCAGCAATTCTTTTTAACATCTTCCAGGGACATCCATAGAATTTGAAAATGCAGCCTGTTGCAAATTCAAGAAGTACCACTGAACTTCAAAAAAATCATTTTCCTTCATATTTTTAAATGTTGAGCATACCACTGCTCAATTATTTTTTTTTTGGTAGATGTCAGATATTTCATGAGTAAGAAAGCATTTATGTGACATTAAAATACAATAAATGCACTTAGTTCTTTGATATTCTACTTCCTTCAAAGTTGGAGTATGTTTATGCTTAATACACAAACATTTCTTAGTACACCATGTCATATTTCGTGTCTAATGTTGTTTTTGTATAACTGATGCCATATTAGAAATGAACAAAACAGCTGTGATAAAAGATAGGTATTCAAAAGATACTGGATCTGCTCGGCACCCATAGCACAGTGGTTATGGCGCCAGCCACATACACCGAGGGTGGTGGGTTTGAACCTGGCCCCGGGCCTGCTAAACAGCAATGACAACCACAACAAAAAAATAGCCGGGCGTTGTGGTGGGCACCTGTAGTCCCAGCTACTTAGGAGGCTGAGGCAAGAGAATCACTTAAACCCAAGAGTTGGAGGTTGCTGTGAGCTGTGACGCTACGGCACTCTACCTAGGGCGAGATACTGAGAATCTCTCTCTAAAAAAAAAAAAAAGATATCGGATTGCTTGTCAGCCTTTTGGCTAAGATCAAGCGTAGTATCTTTTCTTATTGGTTTAGTATCTCATACGTCCTTTATCCAAAACATATTGGCTGTTTACTGGAAGATCTAAAGTCATTTGCCATAGACTTTGTGAAAGCCATAAAGCTATTTTGTTTTAAATATTAGATTCTTCTATAGAGAGCAGAAAATTCACATAGGAAGTAATTCTAGATCCATCGAGACAAGTACTCTAAAAGGAGTTACAGGATGATTTTGAGTGTTTAAAACCGTTCTCCTCACTTGCTCAATCTTTGTCTCCATCTCCCTCTCAATTTATTTGGCACTTGTTACATAAAATGCGTACCCCTCAGTCAAATTCATGATTTTATAATCTTGTTAAAAATAAGGGAACTGGAAGCAGAAGAATGACCACAGGAACTGATTCACTGGACAGACTCAGTTTCACTGCTGTTCTTAAACTGTCAAAGCCATCAAAGTTCGTGTGTCTTTAATGTCTGGTAATTTATAAAGTTCTCTCATATACTATAGCTCTTCCTAGTTCTTAACAGTCCTTATTGCATATAAATCCTCAGTTAGTCCTTGAATTATCTCTAGTAGTTAAACCACCATTCCCAAGATTACCTGGCTAATAAATGATTTTGAATTCAAACCCAGATATGTTTGGTCTTAAAGTCTGAGCTCCTGCCTCACGCTCTGATCTTATATACCAGGCTTAGTTTGTTTCACTAATTCAAGTTAGAGATGACACGAGTTTTGCACGACTGTAACCCACATTTTAAGCCCAATGAGACTTTGATTGCTCTTTAATTATCTGCAATAAGACCTGTTTTATAAGAACTTAGTATTCAAATAACCATATTTAAATGAAATGCATAATTAGAAATTATAAGGCCAGGCACAGTAGCTCATCCTATAATCCCAGGACTTTGGGAGGCCAAGGTGGGAGGGTTGCCTGAGGCCAGGAGTTCAAGACCAGTCTGGGCAACATGAGACCCCATCTGGATAAAAAAAAGTAAATAAATAAACCGGTGTGGTGGTGTGTTCCTGTAGTTCCAGCTACTTGGGAGGCTAAGCTGGGAGGACTGGCGTCACTGTATTCCAGCCTGGCCAACATAGCAGGCTCTTTCTCTTTAAAAAAAAAAAAAAAAAAAAAGGCCTGTCAGTATGTGGAACTGCTTAATTCATCTTCTCCGAGTTTTCATGTTGTAAGAAAATTATATGTTGAAATCTGACATGTGATGCTAAATCCTATTTGTTTTTCTCCCCTACCAGATTATGGAGAGAATTATGGATCTCCCCACTTTACTGAGGCACGCATTCAGGGAAATGTTTTCAGTCGGGGGCCTTTTCTGGATGTTCCGCATTAGGATAATACTTTGCTTAATGGGAGCTTTCTTCTACCTTATATCACCTCTGGATTTTGTGCCTGAAGCCTTGTTTGGAATTCTCGGCTTTCTAGATGATTTCTTTGTTATCTTTTTGCTGCTCATCTACATCTCTATTATGTATCGAGAAGTGATAACCCAAAGGCTAACCAGATGAAAACAGTGCGAGTTTACTGGAGTATCTGAGCTCATGTAAAAAAAAACAACAGAAGGACCCGTGGCAGTATAAAGCATTAGAATATTATCTTAGCAGCTTAACACCGCTGTGTGACAAAACATTTGATTATCATCTGACAAATGCCTCGCGATACATAACTGGAACTTTACATGCTGCAGGCACCAATGTTAAGTTTAGAATTATAATCTACAGTTGTATCTTGATTCTGTGTTGTCTGGAAACAAATACGGAATTATATAAAAAGGGATGCTTTTATATCTTTTTCTTTTCCCTAAAATTACTTAAATTGGATGTATAGTAAGATACTGTTAAATGTACTGTTTATCCAGTTGTTCCTCCTCAGTGGGTACCTACATGAGGATACATAGCTGTGAAACTCATCGTAATTATTTTCGTTAAAATAAACTACCATACGATACTGGAGGAAAGTCAGTGTTTCTTTTAGTACTAGCTGAGTTACGTGCATTTGGAGCAGTTCTGCTTTTCCATTCTGGTATAATTCTTTGTTACCAGCTAAAACCGAAAGAAGAAACTTGAACTTTGTAATTTGATTTTATATTCTATTTACAGAACACTTTGTAATCAGTAGAGGAATTAAGATGAAAACCATTGAGCTCCGTCAGCATACTTGATGTTCAGAGTTAAAATATTAAACAGGAGTTTGGTCCTTTTATAGGAGAAGATAGAAATTATAAGGGGAGCATTTTTTAGGAACTCAGTAATACTGCGAACACAGTTTGTTTGCAAACTGCAAACACAGCAGTTTGATGTGTTTCTGAGGAAAATGGATCTTCTTGTCTATGAGCATGAAAGCCTCTGGGAAGGTACTAGAAATGCTATTTAAATCTGACAAGAGAATTTACTGGTTAGCCCCAGTTGGTTAGTTTTCTGTTGTCCTCAGACATTTGTGATACTCTCAAGATGGCAGCACGTGGTCCAGATGCCTCATGTCTTAAGCAGAGTGAATAAAAGTGTCTGAGAAGAATCAAGACAAGTGTTAGGAGACCCTCACTCACTCCAGCTGGCTTTGCTCACTGGTGGATTTAGGGCAGCAGATGTAAGGTGATGGCCAGGAGTCAGTGTGAGCATTGTCATCTGCAGTCACTGGTGTCACTGTTATCCGTTAATTAGGGAGCTTCACCAACTTCAGACAGACAAGGAGAAAATCTGTCACATCTCCTAAATTAGTCAGATTGCCCATCAACTAATGAGATTCTAAATGAAACATGAGTTTGTATTTTCTCATTTGCGTAGGACAAAGCTCAGGAAAAAGCAATGATGCTCAGATGTAGCATGGCGTACTTAGCACAGCTTCCTGCACACTTCTCGTTTTAACCTTAGACAACTCTGCAAGGAGGGAACGACATCACCTGTCCTTTCAGAGGGAATCCCCGTGCCATTATTAATGAAGGTTTTTGCCTGAAGTCACCGAACAAATAAGCAGTAGAACTGGCATTGAACGTCGCAGGGCTCCCACATAGGATGTTTAGATGAACACAAAGGTCACTGTCAAGATGGGAAGCAAGACGGGATCTGTGGAAATCTTTCATAGTACATTATTCCTTCATCAGAATAGGACAGCAGGTGCTCCTGGGAGGAAAGGTCTAGAAAGATGACACAGCAAGACTTCACGGATCCTAGATTCACATTTCCAAATAAAATGTCTGATAGGGTGGCATACATCACAGAAAAACATACCAGCTGTAATTACCAACTTGAAAAGCTAAGCGGTAGGACTTGGTTACACCACCATTTACCAAGCTGAAAATGCATTTCCTACCAGTTACGAATTTTGTGTAGGGCTATAGCAATGTCATTTTTTGATAGGATTCTATTCTCTGTGCATGTGTTTGGCTCCAAGTGTCACATTTTTGGTTATAATAATTTTATTGTAATATTTGGAATGTAGGCTTTCCTACCATACAAGGTATATTGTACCAAATTTTGTAACATACAAAAGCACTGTATGATCCAAAGTGTTATGAAATTGAAAAGGGTATGTGCTGACATCTCAATTTTAGTCCTGTTTGTTGTCACCTTTGTTTATCACTACTGATAAATGCAGAAGGGATTTGAGAGAATATTTGAAGCAACAATCAGTGTTTTAAACACCATAGTAATATGTCTGTGATTCAGAGTTAGATCATATAAATCAAAGCAACTATTTGGATTTCTTAAAATATTGTAACTGTCACAAAAAACAAATGGTCCATCCCCAGGAGCAGGTAATAACTTGGGCAGCTCTGTGGGGAACAAGACAGGGGAAACTGTTCTAATTGCCCCCTAGAACAGTGGTTTCAGCCGCTGTAATTCTCAGTGTTTGGGAGGAACAGGGAAGAAGGAACTTGCACTATTTATTCCCTGTGGCTGTGCAGATACCTACCTCACAGAGTTGTTGTATGGGATTGCAGTTTAGTTCAAACTTTGTGATTGAAACTTGTCAAGTATTTTGTTATTTTGAATAAAAGCAACATATCTAAAATTTTTTTAAAGGAGTTATTCTGTTTCCTTAACATGATTTGCTTTAAAATTCAGAACTATTAAAAAAGCTTTCAGTAGGGCGGTGGCCACATACACCAAAAAAATAGCCAGGCATTGTGGCAGGGGACCACCAGCTGATTGGGAGGCTTAGGAGAATTGCCTAAGCCCGAGTCTGAGGTTGCTGTGAGCTATGACGCTGTGGCACTCTACAGAGGGCAACAACTTGAGACTATCTCAAAAAAAAAAAAAAACCTTTCAATATAATGGTTGTGGTGGCTTTATCACTAATGGACATCTAATATCTTACTTTCTAATTAATTATCCTTAGATATTTTTAAATTTAAAAAGTAGAAAATAATTGTTTTATTTTTAAGGAAAATAATCTGGGCAATCTGTATTAATTCTGGACAATAAGATTAGAATTTAAGAGATCAGGCTTCTGGCTGATTTGCCATCTCCATTTGTTTTGATCATACCGTATATTTGATAACTGAAGTGTTTGTTTCGGAGTCTGTGCCCTCATGTTCCCATCAGTGCCTTCCCCTGTCCGCCTGCTCTTTGCAACACCAATTGTCCTTCAGGCCCTTCCATTTTGCTAATCAGCAGCCCAATACCAGGGGCTCAGTGGGAGTAGGAAGAGGTGTATTAGGTTTAAAGATTTGAGAATCTCCCAGAACCAGGCCAGTGGGTTTCAAGGGCTGCTAACAGGAGGCAATACTAACACAGAGATGACGTAGTATTTGAGCTTTTGTTGTTGTGTTACAACTAGACCCCCTTCATGGCATCACTCCAGGTGTTGCCCATCTGCGTCCTCTAACTTGTCCTGTGTGAGAAGCAGACGCCCCAGAGGGAAACCCTGCATTCTGGACACTGTCCTTGCTAACGCTGGCCTTGCTGTCTTCAGACAAGTGGGATTTACCTGTCGGCCTTCATGTACTGTGTGATTTAGGATAGGATGAAAGCCACTGATGTTTAATAGTTTAGATCTTAATTTTAAAACAATTTAGAAAACAAAACTGAAAATACCTGATATTTAGTTAGATCAAAGCACTGTTCCTTCTTGGAGGTTACTTATAATAATAATAGATCTTGGGGGAAAACCTAGAATTTGTCTACATGTAGACCTAATACCATGTAAATGCTATGTAAATAATTGTTATACTTTCTTGTTTTTAATTTTTATTCTTTTTTGAGTTTTTGTTTTGAAATACTTTCAATCCATAGTTGGTGGAGGAGGGGGCCCCAGGAATGGGATTAGGGCTATTATAAGAGATGATCAAGAGAGATTCTGTGTCTCTTGGCCACCTACAGATAGAGCATACGGTGAGACGTGGGCCTCCACCAGAACCTCGCTGTGCTGGCAGGCACCCTGATCTTGGTCTAAACCACCCAATTTGAGTATTTTTGGTATATCCATGGGATATGGAGGGCCAATTATGTATGTGTAATTTTACATTTGTTTTCAGGGGATTCAAAGATCTGACCAGTTGTAGATTCCAAATTTAAAATTCCTCATTTAGTCCCATAGTCTTATTCTACAGATGAAGACAATAAGGTCCAGAGAGCCTGAGTGCCAGGATATTTTAAAATAAAAGTTGTTTATAGAAAAAGAATACTTGGCTTCTTAGCGCAGGTTCCTATACCAAAATATAAGCATCTCTTATTTAAGAAAAAAAGGGCAATTTTGTGTATCTTATGTAGCCCTTGACAAGCTATTTTAAGTATAATACATGCCAAAATTTTATAAACCACGAGCATCAGATAATCCATGATCATAAGTGGACAAACTGGCCATCACCTCTTTCATTGCCTCTCTCCCCAAAAGTAACTTCTCCTGACATTAGTTTTATCTTTTTTTTTTAGATGTTAGAAAATGAATCATATGGTACATTTCCTTTTGTGCCTGACTTCTTCAACATTCTAAGTATCACCTGTTTTGTTGTGGGTCACGCTTTATGATGTTGGCTGTGTAATGTCCACTGTGGACTGTATTACAATTTATTCATATAACTAGTAATAGGTATTTGGGTTGTTTCCGTGAAATTTAAAAGGCAACACAATAATCCATAAAAGTAAAAATGGTTCCCTGCAATGCCCCTTAACAAGAAAGCTATTCCAGCCTTGGAAAATGCTATAAAAATGGGCAAAGTAGGAAGAAGAAAAACAGACGGCAGGTATGTTAAGTTAGTTTAGAGGAAGTAAAAATTAGTTTTCTATTAAGAAAATAATTTACAGAGCACAGTGAAAATTTAGAGATGTTTTACAAAAAAATTTAAAAAAATTATATGCAATTCACCATACCAGTAAATGCCAGTATCATTTATCATTCCAAACTTAACACTTGGAAGGCTGCAGATAATAAAAGTTTATCTTTCGTTCCCAAGTTATGGAAAATAGCAGGAGACTAGAAAACAGCAGGTAAGGCGAATGCAGACGAGAACGTGGCCGAGGGATAATCCAAACTGATTTCTCTCTGGACTAATTAGTGGTCACACACGCCCAAGCTGCGCTCCACACCGGCTGGTGCCCCTTGCACACTTCAGTGGCCGGTATTTCCAGGGGCTACAAAATATTAATACTTTCTCTTCTGACATTCCCCAGTCTACAACCCCACAGCCCATGACCTGGTTTCCTAAATCCCTTTTCTCTCTCCAAGCCCTTTATCTGGCTGGGGGAAGTAGCTTCCTTCTTTTTTTAAAGGCCATCTGCATCTCAGTGAAAGGCACCACTGTCCATCCATCTCAATGCTCAAGCCAGTAACTCCAGTCCAGGTCACCCTGGCTATCTTGGTTTCTCTTCCTCATTCTCACAGTCACCTGCCAGCCGGGGGCCTTCTTAGCTGCACCTTGAATTCCATCACAGATCTCTGCTCTACCTCCACCCAAATTACCAATGTGCCCTGCCTCTAAGTGGTTTGTCCACTTGCCCTCCTTCATTGT